ATCCCCGCAGCGCGCAGCGTTCCCGGGGTGCACAGCATCCCTAGGCCCACAGCATCCCTAGGGCATCCGGCATCCTCGGCCTATGCAGCATCTCTGCAGGACCTGGCGTCCTGGGGGTGCTGGGCTGACAAAAGCCGCTACCAAATTCAGCCCAGTGTCTTCCCTGGGTCTGTAATGATTTCCTGGGGCTGCACCACCTTGCAGCCCAATTTATACAAGAGCTTTGGAGCACTGTTATCTATGGGAAGAGAAATTTCAGGCAGAATCCGGCATCCTCGGCCTATGCAGCATCTCTGCAGGACCTGGCGTCCTGGGGGTGCTGGGCTGACAAAAGCCGCTACCAAATTCAGCCCAGTGTCTTCCCTGGGTCTGTAATGATTTCCTGGGGCTGCACCACCTTGCAGCCCAATTTATACAAGAGCTTTGGAGCACTGTTATCTATGGGAAGAGAAATTTCAGGCAGACAGGAAGGCAATGGGAAGGAGCCTAGTTCACATGCTTTGTTTTATAACTGCAATCATTCTAAGCACTATAATGATCCCCATTTCCTTCGCTCCGGCTGCCTTGTTTCAGTTCAGCCGGTGCTGGGAACGTTCCGAGCCGCGAGGGCGCCGCGTGTTTAAGTGGATGATCTGTCCCGGGAGAGCGTTGGTGAGTGCAGCTCGCTTTCACTTCGGGATGTCAGCTCGCACTTTGCTCCTGCTTGGAACAAGTGCCCTAATTCTGCTTTATTGCGTACAGGACTATAAATAGGGGAAAGGTTGGTCAGAGGGTAAAAATAATGTGTCGTGAAGGGAAGCTGGTTGCTGAAAAACTCCAGACTTGTTGTGTCTCTCAACTGTAGCACCTGAAAGGATTAAAACCGGGAGTTTAATCTTGCCTTTTTTCGTGTTCCAGTGATTTCTGGGGAGCCCGTTGCTGCGGGTAGCGAGCAGGAGCTGCCCGGCGAGGAGGAGGGGGCGCTGCCAGGTAAGCGGGGATGCCCGCAGGCTTCCCCCCTGCTGCTTCGGTTTCCAAGCCACGGACGCCCCTTGCGCAGAGGGGGAGGTGGATTCCGGGCTTGCCCTTGGCACTGGCACAGATAAGATGACCCCCGAAGCCATGGGAACGTTCAGAAAGAGGGGGATGGAGGGGAAAGGGGCTCTTTTTTTTCCCATATATTTTGTCCCTGATACAACCTTACTTTTGCTACAGGTCAAAAATGTGATGTCTATTTTCTGTCATTATTTTTTACCCGTTTTAGTGACATAGCAAAGGCAAAAGTGTTCCCAGGTGCATTACTGTGCAGGGCAGCCCTGCTTCCAAATGTAGAGCTTCTTTGCTGCACAAAATCTTTGTTTATGAGCAACCTGTAGAGACAAGGAAGATCTTTCTACAAAATGTTAAATTGAATAAACCACAGCAGCATGGTTTGGAGCGTTAAAGTGAATGATGTTTAGTTTTATTAAGGAGGTGCCTAGCGTGAACATTTGAAGTAGACCACAGATCTCTCTCTCCCCTGGAGAGAGGGGGCAAACTTAGTTGTTGCCTTTTCCCATAGCTTCAGAGTTGCTGTAAACTTTCCATCTTGGTCATGTATCACGTGCATCTTTAGTAAGATGCAGTATCGGAGCATCAAAATGGGGTAGGACATGAGGAGCAGTGTCCGCGGGTGTCTTTCACAGCCCGGCGTGTTAGTGCTGTTAGCAGGTCTGTTTATCCCGAGAAATTTGGTGGTGATGTCGGCTGGGGGAGAGGAACGGTGGACAGGAGACCGGACGCGGGAAACGTTTGGTTCTGCAAGGAGCTTTGAGCAGAGCTGGCCGAGGAGACAGGTGGGGCAGCAGTGGGTTAACATGGGGACTTAGGGACGTGAGTGTTGCAGGGCTTAATCCCTTAATGAGGAGCGCACGCGCGGGCTGCGCGGGGCTGGGGGCGGGCACGGGCACGGGGAGAGGAACGGTGGACAGGAGACCGGACGCGGGAAACGTTTGGTTCTGCAAGGAGCTTTGAGCAGAGCTGGCCGAGGAGACAGGTGGGGCAGCAGTGGGTTAACATGGGGACTTAGGGACGTGAGTGTTGCAGGGCTTAATCCCTTAATGAGGAGCGCACGCGCGGGCTGCGCGGGGCTGGGGGCGGGCACGGGCACGCGGGACGGCTGCGCGGCGCGTGGGCG